AAAAAGAAGATAGCAGGAGAGGAAGAATGAAGGGGAGTAATTCGGAGGGGGAGAGGAACCATGAGAGACCATGGACTCTGAAAAACAAACTGAGGGTTCTAGAGGGGAGAGGGGTGGGGGGATGGGTTAGCCTGGTGATGGGTATTAAAGAGGGCACGTTCTGTGTGGAGCACTGCGTGTTATGCACAAACAATGAATCGTGGAACACTACATCAAAAACTAATGATGTAATGTTTGGTGATTAACATAACAATAAAAATTATTTAAATATAAAAAATAAATTTATTAAAGTTCTAATAAGTTTTACTTTATTACCTATGTTGTTTGGTATATACAATTTTTTAACTCTTACATTTTAGTCATAAACTGTGTATTTTATAATTGTATAATATTTTTCTTTATTCTGCTAAGTACTTTTGACCTTAAAATTATACCTTGACTGATACATGCTTCTTTGCAGTTACCTGAAAACAAAATACTCTTTTCCCTCAAAAGATGCTCTCTGCTTTCCCTGGTGGCTTCTTGACCTTGAAAAGATGAGACCTTTAGAATACTTTTATTTTATTTTCTCTCTTCCTTTTTCTCCTTATCCTCTTTTTCCTCATGAGATTTTGGAAGTATTTTTACTTCTGCCTACCTTCATCTCACCTGTCTACAACTCTTTTACTTTTAATAGTTTAGAAATTTATTAAAATGTTTATATGATATAGTCTTTTTGTTTCAAGAGTCTTTATCATATAAGTTATACATTCCTAGACATTTGGTTATTATTTAAATGTATATTATATAATATAAACTGAAAGTTTCATTGATTACAATATTACTCTTTTTCTTCATCTTCCCTGTTACCACATCTCTTTTTCTGGTTTATTTTTTCTTAGTTAGAACCTTTCCTCAATTATTTTTCTTAATTGGGGTGCCTGAGAAAATACACTCTCTGAATTTTTGCATATTTGCAGTTTTTTTCATGTATCAAAATGTAAGCTTGTTGGCACAGGATTCTTTCATCACTGTCATCTGTGAATGTTCTTTAACTTTGTTTTTTAAATTATTTTTTAAAGATTGCTTTATTTTAGAGAGAAAGAGCGTTCACGCAAGGGGGGACAGTGGTAGTGGGTGAGGGAGAGAATCTTCAGCCAACTCCCCGCTGACCACAGAGTCTGAGAGGTGGGGGGCTCGATTTCATGACTCTGAGCTGAAATCAAGAGTCAGATACTTACCCACCTGAACTACCCAGGAGCCCTCTCTTTTTAAAGTACAAAAATGAAGGGTCCAATGAGGAGCTGATTAACTTTTATAGGTTATTTGCTTTTTAGAGCTGGGTGCTTGATGTGATCCAGCATCCATGAACTTTTATCCCTAAAAACCTCTTTTTTTTTAAGTTCAGATTTCTTTTCTTTTTTGAGGGTTTTTTTTTTTTTGAGTATACTTGACACACAATATTACATTAGTTTCTGGAGTAAACATAGTGATTCCACAACTCTAAGTGTTATGCTGTGCTCACCCTAAGTGTATCTACCATCTGTCACCACACAATGCTTTTGCGATATCACTGACTATATCCCACATGCTGTACCTTTTATTCCCATGACATAACATGGAAGCCTGTATCTCCCACTTTTTCCTTTACCCATTTTGCTCCTCCCCCCCACCTCCCTTCCCTCTGGCAACCATCAGTGTATTTTTTTGTATTTATAGGTCTGATTCTGCTTTTTGTTTCCTTGTTTATTCATTTGTTTTATTTTTTAGATTCCATATATGAGTGAAATTATATGGTATTTGTCTTTCTCAATCTGACTTATATCTGACCCTCTGGGTCTGTCTTGCTATTTCAGATTCCATTCTTTTTTATGGCTGAGTAATATTGCATTTATATATATATATGGCACATCTTTATCCATTCATCTATCAGTGGACACTTAGATTGCTTTCATATTTTGGCTATTATAAATAATGCTACAATAAACATAGGGGTGCATATATATTTTTGATTTAGTTCTTTCATTTTCTTTGATAAATACCCAGTAGTAGAATTACTGGATCATAAGGTAGTTCTATTTTTAATGTTTGAAAAACCTCCATACTGTTTTCCATAATGACTGCAGTATTTTACATTCTGACCAGCAACACCAGGAAGGTTTCCTTTACTCCACATCTTTGCCAATACTTGTTATTTTCTGTTTTTTCCACAATGACCCCCCCCTTTTTTAAGATTGATTTATTTATTTGAGAGAGAACACGCATGTGCAGGGTTGGGGAGTGCGGAGGAAGAGGAAGAGAGAGTCTGAAGCAGGACTCATTCTCAAGATCCCATGATCTCATGATCATGTGATCATGACCTGACCTGAAACCAAGAGATGCTTAACTGACTGAGCCACTCAGGCACCCCTGATAATGGCCTTTCAAATGGCTGCGAGTTTAATTTTTATTTAAACTCATTTAAATAAGTTTTAATATTTATTAAACTCATTTTTAAAACAATTTTTTAAAAATCTGTCAATTAAAAAAAAAATCTGTCTCCTATGCAGGGAGGGCTTTGTGACATTGAGCCTGAGAATAGAGAACTCATAGCACCACCTTACTTGCTTACTCTTCTGTCCTTAGAATATTTTAAGCCCATTTATACCCGTAATATAAATAACAGAAACTCAGTGATTTGCAGTACACCAAGTCTGTATCAGTGACTTAATCTCAGTTTCCTCACCTGTGAAATGAGGGTCTTTGGTAATTTACTTCCTAGATTGTCTGATTTGGTTGTTACCATAGTCCACATATTTGCAGAATAAAAGTCAGGATTGCTGTGAGACTTTTACCAGCCTTCCACAGATTGTGGAAGTCTTCCCTTTCTAGCCTATGTATTTCTCATGCATATATGTAAAAGGCCAGCCACATAGGTCTACTTAATCCTTAAATCTAGCTCGTCGTCTCCTTTAATTGTCCCTTCTCCCTGGAATCTTTCTTCCACTGATTCTCACCTGCCTTTACACCTAGGTTTGGTGGAAGTCTTATTCTGATCTTCAGATAACAGCTGAGATCTCACTCTAAGAAGTCTTCCCAGGTCTCTGTAGCCTAAATTAATCTCTAAATTGTTACTCTCATAAACCTTGTATTTTTAGTCTTATCACATTATGCATTTTATTATAGAGGGGTGTGTGTGTGTGTGTGTGTGTGTGTGTGTGTGTGTTTAATTTTATTTGACCTTCTTTTACAGTTTAATATGCTCCTACACTACTGGGACCATACCTTACTCTTATTATGACTTTGTGCCTCTGTCAGGGCAAGTAGATCTTTAATATATTTTAACTGAATTTGAGCAAGAATGGAAAAATGTATATTGACCAGTAATCAGTTTTTTGGCTTAGTTTGGATATTTTTGCAATCAGCAACACTTTCAGTAGATTTTCTTTGTACTTTATATCTACTTTTTTTTAGGACAGGTATTTCTTAAGTCAGCAAGAAAATTAACTACAACAGGAACTTCATTAAAGCTACAACTTAGGATATGCAAATGTGAAAGGTTTCTAACTTTACCCAGTACATTTCGCATATATCATTAGTCACTGTTAGACACTTCGGTCTTGCTTAATATAATTCAGTGCTGAATGTGTATTTTAATGTGAGAGTTTTGACATCAACGTTTTTAACTTTCGTATAATTTATAATCTTAACTTTGAGTTAATGGAAATTGTTGCTTCTATAGATTGTGGTTTGAAACTGCTAATAAGTTCAGTCAGTAATACATGATCTTTAGCTCCTAAGCCGTGAATAGTAGATTTCATTTTTTGTTAAAATCTATGTCTGAATTGAAAGGGGTCACAGGGTCTGAATGGTGAATAAAGCAGTAGAATGCTAATCAGAAGATAGAAGTACTAGACTCACTCTATTATTAACTTCCACTGTGTTCAGTAATCTAAAATAACATGGATACTAATCTCCTTTTTAAATTGTTAATAATAGCTCCTGCTACTTGATAGCTTGTGAAGTGCTTTCATCGCCATTTAAAAAAAATGTTTTAACTTCTTGCAGCTCTTTGAGGTAGTTTTGGATCATCCCTGTTTTATAGATGCAGAAATTGAGACTTAGAGAAATTAAGTCACTCAAGATTTGGCTAGCAGTAAAATAAGTACAAATATACTTGGAACTAGACCCCAGAATTTACCCCACAGTTAAGACCTTTAGCTGTAGTCATGTTGTGGTGGGTTTTTTGCTTATAGGGTGCTGCAAAAATGCACTGATATTATTATCAAATAGTGTTCTCAAATGTCACAGTAATATATACATTCCATCGCACATTTATATCTGTTTCCCTGGGTGGTGTCTGATAACATTAAATTTCAGGAGTATGATTTTTATTACTTTTTCCAAGTGAATAATTGTAAAAGCTATTCATAATTTTTTTTATTTTTTAAATTTTGCATCAAACGAAGATTTCATCTTAAAAGTACAAAATAATTTTAAAAACATGGTTACCTGATGTTGACTGTTAATATCTTTATATAAAATTTTTATTCAACAATTGATTAACAAGTATTTCTGAATTTTTCTGTATTCTACAGAATGGTTAATAACGCTGATCATCTCTAGGAAGGATATTGATTCACCTCATGTAAAGTATGCTCAGTTCCTTTCCAGTGGTGTAAGTATCTAGTCCTTTTCTTACCTTCCCTATTGTTTTTAATAAAGTGAAGAAATCATTATGATTATGATCCAAAAATGACAGCAGGCATTCACAGAGTTGAAAGAATTTTTTCATAATCATAGTGGAAAGGAATGAATTTTGAAATCTATCACTTTCTCTTTTACCATTTATTTTCAGCTTTGAAGTCTGACATTTATTTTTAACATAAAACTACTCTACTAATTATTTCAAACTGCTTAATAGGTTAGAAACTTACAAAATAGATGGCTAGCTAGTGTTAAATTCCTTGTGACAAGCAGAATATTGGAAGCATATTTACCTTAACCCCGCCTTTGTGTGCAAACTCCGAAGCACCTTGGCCATTTTCCTTTACCTCCTGGAGATAATAATGTAGTTAAGCCTGTTAGCTAATGTCATCAGTAGCCTTTCTTTGGAGTCAGGCGAAAAATACAAATTGAGATGGTGGTATTATGTTGAGAGTTTTTTGTGCTAGGATATGAACTGTAACCACTAGTTCGTATTAAATAGGGCTCTGAATAAAAGTATTCCGGGAATTTCAGATATTAGAGAAGATAAAGTATCTTTTAGCTCATTAAGTGCATCTTTAGAGTCTAATGCAGAGTGCCTTTAGCATAAGTATTTTCTAAAATTCAGTGCAGTCTGTATTTCGATTAAATTCCTTCCGTTTTGTTTGACAGTTCTATAATCCAATAAGTAGACATTAACATAGATTTTCTTTATTATTTGGGTTTTTCATTAAAGTTTTTTCCCTCTCCTGTTGACTCTATCATATATCAAAGAATCTCTGGAATAGGCCCAGGTGTTGTGAACTGTAGCCCGAGTTTCTGCTAAATAGCTATATCCTTGGGAAATGGCACAGCACTGCATTGCTTTTGGCCTTAGTTTCCTTTTTTTTTTTTTTAATGATATACTTGCTAATGGCTGTTTTTAATAGCCATTAGAATGTAAGCATCATGAGGCCAGGAGTTTTTGCCTGATCCGTTCCTTGTTGAATCCTTTCTGCCAAGTACATGGTCTGACATATAGGCCATATTCAGTAAATGTTAGTTGAATGAATGATTTTTCTCTAAATGGTGTCCAGTTCCCTGATTCCACACCTAATTTATATTTCCCTCTATAAACTTGCATATTTTTACTTCGATTTTTTTTCCCCACACATGTATAAGGTGGCTACAGTAAGAAAATTTCAATCTTAATCAGTGGTAATTTAAAAATAACTATTATATAGTATGATTGGCACATTGGAATATAATCTCATTTTTCTCAAAGTCTTTTTATTATGAAAAGAACATTTTTGTGTTGTCGTTTGTAGTCATAGCCTCTAATCTTTTGTTTTAGTCAGTTCTCCTATTGGTTTGAATTACAGAATCATCTTATCATACTGTCAAGCTCAGTCCCCAGTAAATCTTCATTTCTTACTTATTCTCACTTCTTATTTTATTTTTTTATTTTTTATTTTATTTTTTAAGATTTTATTTATTTATTTGACACAGAAAAAGCACAAGTAGGCAGAGCGGCAGGCAGAGAGAGAGGGAGAAACAGGCTCTCCACTGAGCAGGGACCTGGACGTGGGGCTCAATCCCAGGACCCGGGGATCATGACCTGAGCCGAAGGCAGCCTCTTAACTGAGTGAGCCACCCAGGTGCCCCTCTTACCATTTTAAACTTTAAGATTCCCACTCCTTTGGTGGTAATAATAATTGTGAAAGAGGCTAATGTGCCATAAATAGTAAGAAGGGCCTGAGTACATCTTTAGTTGATGGATATTACGATTACCTCTAGAATGTAAATACAAAGTATGCGAAACAAAACTAACTTATGAGTAGGTCATATTTTGCCTAGTCATTCTAGATAAAAGGATAGCAAGCAGAATCAAGCTGAAGAAAATGCTAAATGCTGTTATTTTAATAAACTCTTAGTAACTATTAATGTTCTACAAGTAAGATAGTAATGTCATTTTTGCACAGGTGATTTCAAGATTAATCATTTGTAAATGCTTTAACCTTCTTTGCTCTGTATGTTTGTAAAATTTAGTTTAAGAAAGTGTTCTGGACCAAATGCCAATCTAAGAAGGGTTTAGGTACAAATCCAAGTAGGGATAAAATTTATTATAAAATAGGTTTACTATTATGGTCCAATAGTATAGTCTTTTGGAATATCAGTTTATGAACTGAGCCATAATTCCTGAATTTAACTGTTCTTTTATGCTTTAAACATTGTCTGTGTTACTGCAGTGTCAAAATTCTTCTCACATCATTTTCAATTATTGTTGGCCTGAGTCTGCATTCAGATTAGTCATTTAAATTGAAAGACATTCCTTATCCTGTGAACAGCTCTTGTGCTACATAAGAAAATTAATTCAGTTTTTACATGTAATCTTTTTCTGTTATAAAAGAATTGCTGGTATCATAGATTTAGATGACCTTTGTAGGTCATTTACTGCCATAATTTCAGGATTACATGCTTAAACTAGGTAAATTATGAGAAACAAAGTGTGGAAATGACAGGCTATACCTTTGTTTATGTTAATGCACATGGAGATACTATTCTTGATATCCAAGAAAACTTCTAATCTTGGCATTTTCTCAGTGAAATATAGTACATTCAGTGTCATATGCATGATTTGATCCTGGTCGTGCCACTATCATTCTACTCTGTAGGGATCATGCATTCCCTTTTAGCAATTGTAGATCTTTTTACATTAGGTGTATCTTTGTACTAGGGACCTCTCTTGGTGCAAGGCACAAACGTCCAATTTAAACAAGGTATAGCATAAAGGGAAATTTATGCTCTTATATAACATATAGCAAGAAGGACAGAGATGTAGCAGGGACTCAGGAATTACTAGAACAAAGAGTATGAACACTGCAGAGCTTTCTCCTTTGCTCTGCATTTCCTATTATGTCTGCTTTATTCTCCTACACAGTCGCTTCTTTCACACTGTGAGGAATGTATCAGACTAGTATCTTCCTGCAGCTGAGAACGGTTATAGTGACTATCCATTTTCCTGCTGATCTAACCTAAATATTTTGAGGAGAGCAAGGCTTGGCTTCCTTATGTGCCCACCCTGTTGGCTAGGAGGTGGGGTATTACAAGAGGCAGTCCCAAGAACATGTGGTTGGAAACAGTGAGGCACTTGAGGCTGAAAAAATAATACATATGTTCTGTTAACTCCTTTTATGGCTTTTGGAATAAAAATGTTTCTCATAGTGAATCTGAAATGACATAAAATATTAACTTGTTTTGGATACTGTGAGTCTTGATAGTTCTAATATAAGCTTTGGGATGGCATTTTTCATTAACAGGTTAAATTCATATAAAATTTATTTTAGTTTTATGCTGTCATACAGTGTCCTGCTCCATACAGAAAAAGGTTTAAAGAATTATATACAGATACTACCTGTTCTGATATAAATAGGATAGGAAAATAAATAGGAAAAAATCAGGATTGATGTTTTTTGTCCATATAATAAAAACAGTTCTCGAAGTCTCATTTAAACTAAGGTCAGTTTATGGTGTATTTTGAAAGCATTAAGACTGAAGTTAGCAAAGGACAGGTCTACTTTATTTACAAGGGGAAAGAATAATGTATAGAAACCTCAGCTTACCAAATCAGTAAATTCAGGGGTTAATTATTTGGATTCTAAAGGGATTGGGCAGTTACATTTATTTATTTAAAGATTTTTAAAATTTATTTGAGAGAGAGAGTGCATCACAAGCAGGGGGAAGGGCAGGGGGAGAGAGAGGGACAAGCAGACTCACCGCTGAGCAGGGAGCCCGGTGTGGGGCTCCATCCTAGAACCCTGGGATCATGACCTGAGCCAAAGGTAGACATTTAACCGGCTGAGCCACACAAGCGCCCCTGTTTTTAATTTCTAATTTTAATTCCAGAATATTTAATATACAGTGTTATATTAGTTTCAGATTTACCATATAGTGATTCACCAATTCTGTACATTACTCAGTGCTCATCATGATGTGTACTTTTAATCTCCTTCACCTGTTTCACCCATCCCTCACCTACCTCCCCTCTCACAGTTTGTTCCCTATAGTTGAGTCTTTTTTTTTGTTTGTCTCTTATTCTTTGTACAATTTGTTTTGTTCCTTAAATTCCACATGAGTGAAATCATGATATTTGTCTTTGACTGACTTATTTCACTTAGATTTATACTCTCTAGTTCTATCCACATGGATAGAATGGGAAGATTTCATTATTTTTATGACTAATATTCCTCTCTCTCTCTCTCTCTATATATATATATATATATATATATTTATATATATATACACACTACATCTTCTTTATCCATTCATCTAACAGTGGACATTTGGGCTGGTCCATAATTTGACTATTGTTAATAATGTTGCAATAAACATAGGGGTGCATCTATCTTTTTGAATTAGTGTTTTCATTTTCTTTGGGTAAATACCCAGTAGTGGAATTACTGGATCATAGGATAGTTCTAATTTTAATTTTTTGAGGCACCTCCATACTATATTCCACAGTGGCTGCACCAGTTTGTATTGTCACCAACAGTGCACATGAGTTCCTTTTTCTCCACATCCTCACCAATACTTCTTGTTTCTTGTGTTTTTGACGTTAACCATTCTGACAGGTGAAGTGATACCTCATTGTAGTTTTGATTTGCATTTCCTTGATGATGAGTGATGTTGAACATCTTTTCATGTGTCTTTTGGCCATCTATATGTCTTTAGAAAAATGTCTATTCAAGTCCTCTGCCCATTTTTGAATTGGATTATTTGGGTTCTTTGGTGTTAAGTTGTATAAATTCTTTATATATTTTGGATACTGACCCTTTATTGGGTATATCATTTGCAAATCTCTTCTCCCATTTAGTAGGTTGTCTTTTAGTTTTGTTTCTTTTGCTATGCAGAAGCTTTTTATTTTGATGTAGTCCCAATTGTTTATTTTTGTTTTTGTTTCCCTTGCCTCAAGAGACATATCTAGAAAGGTGTTTTCATGGCCAGTGTCAGAGACACTACTGTGTGTGCCCTTTTCTAGGATTTTTATGGTTTCAGGTCTCACATTTAGGTCCTTAATCCATTTTGAGTTTACTTTTGTGTATGGTATAAGAAAGTGGTCCAGTTTCACTCGTTTGCATGTAGTTCAGTTTTCCCAACACCATTTGTTGAAGAGATTTTTTCCTATTGCATATTCTTGCCTCCTTTGTCGAAGATTACTTAACCACATAATCATGGGATTATTTCTGAGCTTTCTGTTCTGTTCTATTGATCTGTGTGTTTATTTCTGTGCCAATACCATACTGTTTTGATTACTAGTGATTTGTAGTATATCTTGAAATCTGGATGGTGATACATACAGTTTAGTTCTTCTTTTTCCAGATTGTTTTGGTTATTTGGGTCTTTTGTGGTTCCATACAAATTTTAGGATTATTTGCTCTAGTTTTGTGAAAAATGCTGTTAGTGTTTTGATAGTGATTGCATTAAATCTATAGATTGCTTTGGGTAGTATGGACATTTTAACAGTATTGGTTTTTACAATCCATGAGCATGGACTATGTTTCCATTTGTTTGTGTCATTTGGCATCTGCTTTTAAAGAGAAGTTCTTAGGATTAGGGTTTAATACGTTGCTAAGCACTGGTAGAGCAGACAAATGGCTAAGGGTTATAACAGAAACTAAAGTATTAAGTGTCTCTTATAAGCCACTTGGAAAATGTTCACATAGCTCTTTCAACAAACTTTATTTAAGCCTAATATACCTACTGAAAATGCACAAATCAGTAGTCACTACTTGGTGGATATTCACACTGTATATACCAGTGTAATATAATTAGCATAGAACAGAACATTACCAACACTGCATAACATTTTAATAATAGATCATTTATGTGAAGCCAGGTATATTGTTCTTTTGAAATTGGTCAGGAGAAAAAAATAAATGAGTTACTCTGGTTGCAGTTTTCTCTTCTCTCCCAACTAGATGATGATATATTAGGGAGGGGGATATATTAAGCTAACAAGTAGTAAAGTACAATTGTAATAGCCAAAGCATTTAAAGATTTATTTGTTTGAGTGAGAGAGAGTAAGAGCTCGTGAGCTGGGAGAGGGGCAGGGGGAGAGAATCTTCAAGCAGACTCCTTGCTGAGCCAGGAGACTGACACGGGGCTTGACCCCACAACCCATGAGACCATGACCTGAGCCAAAACCAAGAGTCGGATGTTTAACTGACTGAGCCACCCAGGTGCCCCATAGCCAAAGCAGTTAGAATAGCTAATGATTGGAAACAGTCCATGTGTCTAAAATAGGATGGATAAACAAACATGGAGTATCTTCCTATAATGAAGTACTACTCAACAGTAAAAAGGAACAAACTGCTGATACACACTACATTGGATATGAATCTCAAAAACTTTATGCTGAGTGAAAAGAGTATGTAGAAATTCCATTTATGTAAAGTTCTAGAACAGGGAAAACTAATCTGTGATGGGAAAAATCTGAGCAGTGGTTCCCTGTGAGAGAAGGGGCCAAGGATTAACTGGGAAGGGGGCACTTCTTGGGATGTTAGTAATATTCTGTATCTTCACAGGCGTTTTCACAGGTAATATATTTTTTACAGTATGTACTTCTCAAAAGTCATAGAATGGTAAACATAAGACTTGTGTATTTTCTTTTATGTAAATTTTTCCTCAAAAGAAAAAACCTGAACAAATACTGGGTTTTAATTAATGCAATGCATGTGGAAATATATAGGAGAAAGTATACAGATGTCTGTAACTGATTTTAAAATGCATAAAAAATAAGATGAATATAGGTATGGCTACATAAGGGAAGTTATAAAGTTAAGTTATAAAGCAAGTAAAATGTTAACAGTAAAACATAGATGGTTAGTATGTGAGTGTTCACTGCAAATTTCTTTTAATTTTTGTGTATGTTTAATGTTTTTCATTATAAAATGTTCGAGGAAAAACCCAGGCAATCAAGAAAGAATGTAATAATTATGAAAATAGGACTTGTATCACAGATAGCTTGTCACAGTGAGTATTGGAAGAAAGTGGAAGATAACGTACAAGTCTAAGGCAGACATCGTGACCTATGACCACAAATGGCTTGCAGCATGTTATTTGTGGTCCACAAAATGTGTTTGTTTTATTTTTAATTAGCCTGTCTCTAAAAGTAGAGTGATTTCACATAAAAATTCTAGATTTCTGCCTGCTTATTTTTAGAAGGATCTGAAAGACAAAACAATCAATGGAACAGAACAGAGAATCCAAAGGTAGATGGAGATTTGTGTGGAAATTTTGTATATGAAAAAGGTTGTATTTCAGATTAGAAGAGAAGAGACATATTACTCAGTAAAGCATATTGGACAGCCACCTATGCATCTGGGAAAAAATAAAGCTCAAATCCTTTCACATTCATTAAGTAAATATAAATTCCAGGTGGAGCAAAGATTTAAATTTAAAAACCTATTACTAGGACCTCTAGTCCATCAGTAGAGTGGTTTTAGCTAAGTGGGTTTTTTTTGTTTTAAGATTATTTATTTATTTATTTGACACAGAGAGAACGAGAGAGAGAGGGAGACAGAGAGAGCAAGCACAAGAGGGGAACCGGCAGGCAGGGGAGAAGCAGGCTCCCCGCTGAGCAAGGAGCCTGATGTGGGGCTCCATCCCAGGACCCTGGCATCATGACCTGAGCCGAAGGCAGCTGCTCAACTGACTGAGCCACCTAGGCACCCCCTAAGTGGTTTTAACTGGAGACTTAAAAAAGTTCAATAGCCTATATCCCAAATCATAGGATTCCAGTAAGTCCTGCTATATGTTGGAAAGCAGAATAATATATGATTTTGGAGTCAGTAAGATCTAGGTTTAAATCTTTTTTCTACTCTTAATCAGACTTTTTGCAAGGTACAGAACCACTCTGAGATTTAGTTTCCTTAATGATCAGTCAATATAAGATTTTAAAAGTCGGCCACAGGACTTTTTTGCTCCCAATCAGATGAAATTACATTCTATGAAACTCTCGCCCAATGCCTGCCTAGAAGTGAATGTTCAGTAAATTTTTAGTGTAGAGGGATGAAGAAACAGACTTTTTTCCCCAAAGATTTATTTATTTATTTTGAGAGAGTGAGAATGAGAGAGAGAGAGAGAGTACATGAGAGGGGGGAGGGTTAGAGGGAGAAGCAGGCTCCTCGCTGAGCAGGGAGCCCAATGCGGGACTCGATCCTGGAACTCCAGGATCATGACCTGAGCCAAAGGCAGTCGCTCAACCAACTGAGCCACCCAGGAGCCCCCAAAGAAACAGACTTTGAACAGCTGTGGGGAACTGGCCCAGAACAGATGTTTACCTGTAAAGGATGAGACAATTCCTTGACATTTATTTCCGTTAGCGAACATTTATTAAGAGCCTACTGTATGCCATGCATCCTATTTGGCACTAGAACTATAAAAAAAAATCTTTAAAAAAATCTTGGATTAGGAAAGTCAGGTTTTATAAGAAAAGAATTCTAGTGAGAATTTTTAAATTTGATAATTTGCTTAAACTTAATATTGTTATGACTCTGACATTTTCTGGCGTGCTACAGTTTCTTGTGTTAGTTAAAGGAAACATAATGTGGAAGCAATTTCCCAAGAAAAATGAATAGTTTGGCTGCAACCATGAAAGATCCATTTCTCGGGATAACTATTAAGAGAGAATGCATTACAGAAATGAGATACTGAACAAAATTGCTAAGTGGTGGGTGAAATGGTGCTTAATAAGTTTTTTTATGTACCTTCTTACTTTTCCGTTTAAATTTTTGCTGGTTATTAGTATTTGCCTGAGCTTACCTTATCAAGTCATTTGTTTACACTAAATGAAGATACAGACTTCCTAGGTCAGTTTTGCTACTTATTAAAACCAGATAATACAAACTGTTTTCACAACAACTTTTCATTACTACTACTCTAATGTAGAGTAATGAATTTGAGATGGAAAAAACACCTGTGAATAACACAAATAGACTAGTATTAAAAGTGTATGTATGCAATCTGTTGTTTTGGTATTATTGCCATAACTGAAATTTTGGTTCAGATATTTACCAAATTGAGGAAAGTGTAAATTGTATGCCATATGAAATTGGGTTTTGTGTTACACCTAATGTCCATCTGCTAATAAACTCAGTAACTGTACCAATCCATTTGCCATGACAAAAACATTTTAGCATGGAATGATAATAACTGTTCTTATAATAATAATGTCTTAATCATTTTCAGTAAAGAAATTGTTGTAGAAATATTTTGCATCATCTCCTGAGCATTCTCTATAATGATATGTTCTTTGGTACATGTTGTAAATAAAAGGATTTTTTTTTAATTTTTTTTTTTAGTTTGCTGGAAACCATGTCTCACTATACAGATGAACCCAGATTTACCATAGAGCAGATAGATCTGCTTCAGCGCCTTCGGCGTACTGGAATGACTAAACATGAAATTCTCCATGCCTTGGAAACTTTGGACCGTCTTGATCAAGAGCATAGTGACAAGTTTGGAAGAAGGTCCAGCTATGGAGGAAGTTCTTATGGAAATAGTACCAACAATGTTCCAGCATCTTCCTCTACAGCTACAGCTTCCACACAGACCCAGCATTCTGGAATGTCCCCATCTCCTAGCAACAGTTATGATACCTCCCCACAGCCTTGCACTACTAATCAAAATGGGAGGGAGAATAATGAGCGATTATCCACGTCCAATGGAAAGATGTCACCCACTCGCTACCATGCAAACAGCATGGGTCAGAGGTCTTACAGTTTTGAAGCCTCAGAAGAGGACCTAGATGTAGATGATAAAGTGGAGGAATTAATGAGGTTAGTTCTTTTGCTTACTCAGAGTCCCCAAAATGTCTATGTTCTTAGATTGGTTTTGAGTAATATACTGTATTTCAGCTACTTATCTATAAGAACTATGATTTCCCCCTCCTTCCCTTGGAGATGAAAGAAAATATTTTCAAATTTTATGATTTTAATTCAAATTTTGTGTTCTCTACCTTAGCCCTTTCTCTTTGCTGCCTGATAAGCCTTTCCCATTCTGTTTATCAAAGCAGAAGTTAGCCTTCTCTTTATAGTACTAATTGCTAACATCTGAATTTTCTGAATTGTTAACACATTCTAATCCTTAGAGTTTTCTGAGAGAAAAGATGATTTTATCATGATACAGAATTTGTACACTTAGTTTTTCACTCTAACATACCACAACAAAATAATTTTGAGCACCTATTTTATAGAAAGCTGTGTTCTTAGGAAGAAAAATAGACATGGTTTCTACCCCTAAGAAGCTAAAAGTTCTATTTAATAGATGCCACACACACACACACACACACACACACACACACACACACATTATCTATTACAAGGTAAGTGTAAGGCTTTCTTGTTTTAAACACTGAGAAAAGAAGTCCACTTTCAAAAGAGGAAATTAGGAAGGGCTTCACACTGGAGCTGGAACACTCTGAGGCCAGTAATCATGTGTTTTTGAATGTTTCCAGGATCTAGAATTGTCCTTGGCACATGCTAAGGGTTTAATATGTTAAGTGAATGGATGAATTTGAGCTAATCTAAAAGGATAGCTTTTGTTTTGAAATATAGGAACTTTATTTAAAGTTAAGGGATTAGTAAAAAGGTAGAAAAGGCAAGGCATGTTTAGTTTTATAAAGGTTGCATGGGCTAGACTATGGTAATAAGAATATTATATTAGGATGCAGTACAGGTTTGGGAAGATTTGAGTTCCACACGAGTAGTTTATGTTTAATTTGGTTGAATTAAGGATTTTTTACAGGTGTGTAGGAATAGACATGATAAAAGCATTATTTTCAATAGATTATTACTACTGTAGTAGGAGGAAAGCCTGCAGATAGAATAGTTACAGTAGATAAAGAAGCTGTAGTACAAATTTGTCAGAATAAAGTTAGAACCTATAATTATGAGTTATAGTTCTTCCTAAGGATTTTAAGACTAAAGATAGTATAATGGTGACTTAATATTGCATATGGAAGATCTATTCTATAGTACCACAGTGGTAAAATCTTTTAAATAAACTGTCCCGAATTTATTTTTAGGGTAGCACTGTGTTATATGGAACTGTGAACTAAATGGACTATTGCATCTAGATTCCAATGTAATTCCTATAATGAATAGTTTCATAGAGCAGCCATAGAACCCTGTTACTTCCACTCCCCCTGCTTGTGTTTTCTCTCTTGCTATGTGTCTATCTGTCAAATAAATACATAAACTTAAAAAAAAACACTTAAAAATATAAGAGCTCAATTTGGTTTTGAATTCATTTTCACTTGTTAAAGCAACTGGCCACAGTTTAGATGTTCCTTTTGAATTTAACATGTGTATCATTGTCATGATTGAGAGGGAGAACCATTGCTGCAAGTAGAAGTTACTTAAGTCATTGAAATATGACAAGGTTAGCTTTTAATTATCCTGAGTAGAGAGGAATCAGCAATAAAATTTATACTGTTGCTGTCATTAATCAGTTTTAATAAGCTTTTAACATAACAATTAATTCCCAAATGTGTATTAGACTACCACAAAATTTGGGGAAATTTTCTTGTTAACAAAAGGCTCTGAAGATTGGCTAAGATCTAAAATTTGACTACAAGGGTCTAAAAATGTAACTACTAGCTCTTACATTGGCATAATGTTGTAATACAACTATGTTCTCAAAATAAACAGAAAACCTATTTAGCAATGATTAGGATTTGTAGTTAAATCCCACAATTAACACACATTCAAGTTTTATCATTAAAAATATACATGTTTTTGCATTATTACCAGTGTTTAATTTACTGCCACTTGTTGCATAGTTAGGATGCTTTATCTTTATCGTATTCTCTGCTTCTTTCTATGAACTGCTACTTCAGTTCTCTAATCATCTAAGGGTCTCATTGAACCTTCTGGCTCTCTTTGGTTCTCTGCCATTGTGTCCTCACCCACACCTGCATTCCTCCTTTGTGCCCGCCTCTTATTTTTTTCAAGTTTGCACATAATAACAATCCTTAGGTCAGAGAGAGAAGTTTATTGCATTACTAATTCTCACTTTTAATCATTATAACCATGCTGTGTATGAAGTACAGCAGAGAAATTGAGATTCATGAAATTTAAATAACTGACCCAAGAGATTTTAAATATTAAGTGTCAGAACCTGAATTCTAACCTATGTCTTTATTACCATGTCTCTGGTATCTGTTGCCTCTGTAAAGAAGTTTTTCATGTCTGTAGATTTCAGTAAGATTTTAAGAACAGTGGTTGATGTAACACAAGTGAAAGTTGTGAATGCCTTAATGAGCTGTTGTTCCTCCCTCCCTCTACCCCTCACATGGCATTTGCCATTTCAGATCAGTTACTAACCAGATGAATTTTTATTTGGTAGAATGTTAGAGAAATTTTTGAGCAGTGATTTTTCTGAGTATCCTGTGCCACATAGGGCTGTACTGCCCTCTCTAATCACTCAACACTCTGATATTGTAGTGGGTTAGATTTGGTGGGCTGTAAGTGGGGAGAATGGGTACCTGAATGCCTTCCTGCCTCCTTTTCTAGATAATCATATATAATTCACATCTTGCATGCTCCATAGCACTCAATCATAAGTTAATATTTTTCAAATCACATAACCCATTGAGTTCATAGACTTAACACCTACTAATTTCAAGGTACACAGAGAAAATTTTTTATAGAAATTAACTTATAAATGTACACCTGATCAACTTAAGAAAGAATCAGAAAGAGAGAAACTGCTACTTTTCCCATTTTTTAATTGGGGTGAAAAAAAAAAAAGAAACCAGATAGTGGGTTCTCAACAAATTATTGAATATATAACATTTTAGGAAGGACTTTAAAGCCAAGAGCTAGAATGAAAACCCATTTCACATATTAGTATTTTTAAAATGCATCTATTAACATACATATTTATAAATCGTTATATATATACATTTGTTAATATTTAGTGTAGATCTGTTCTTTCATGTGTCTATTATAAAATAACAGTTGAAATGAGGCTTTTCAGGAATTCATAAACAATGCCATGTATTAAGTTGTTATTCTTAACTACCCATGTACTAAATTTTATGACTGTATTTTATATAAGATCCAGGACTTTATTCCAAATGCTTAACTATATCCCTAACAATTGGTGATTTAGGGATATGTATTTCCTAAATTCAGTTACAATGTTGTGTATACATATAGAGTAGCTTTTCTTTTAAAAATTTTAAATTATGCTTTATCTCCCTGAGTAGAAATGAAAGGGAGCAGGTTCTTATTCAAAAGTTAAAGAATTTGTATGTAATTGTATTTTCCCATCTGTGATATAGTCTGTCTTTGTAGGTATTGCTCCATCTCTGAAAGTCTTTGAGATAGATGGCTACCTTTAAGGAGTCCTAAAGAATGTGTAGTATTCTCAACTGAGAGAATATGGAAGATCTTAAAGCATACAACTTTTAAACATGTAGTCTTTAATAGTCTTTGTTCCAAAAATGGAAGGATTGCCATTTTGAGCTGGCGTAAATAACTTTTTCCATTCTGATTTGGGAAGCTTAAACATATTTGAGATTAAGAATTTAGAGCTGTTTTATAAATTATCTAGATCAGGTTTGCCATTTACAACCTTTTATCTTCAACTACAAATTTGTTCGTTCATTGAACAAATTAAGCTCTATTATATGCAAACCCCATGATGAATAAGATACAATCTTTGTGCTAAAAGACTTCAGTCTAGTAGGAGCGATAAGACCAGATCGGAACAACTATAATATAGAATAGCATGTAATATATTAGCATGTGAGTAGTATAATTGAAATGATAAAGTTAGTTATTAGAAGAAAGAGATCTTTTTTAGCTGTGAGGATCAGGGAGAACTTCTCTGAATAGATGACAGTTAAATTGTGTCTTAAAGTAAGGGTGATTCTACAAAAAGGCATTACTGATTAATTCATTTGGATATTAAGAAAGGTCTGTAGATAACAATGGAAAGTTTAGCAAGTTATAAAAATAATGGCAATGGAGGGTGGAAAGGAAGAATTTTATCTTCGTGTGGAAAGCACCCAGAGAGAAGAATTCAACATGGCTGTGATTTGGAACAGGTGGTAGGAGATGACATGGATTTTAAGTGGTTTGATGCAAATAGACTGGTAGCTTATCTTGGAAGTAAGCTATGGAATCAAAGAAAGATCCGCTTGTATTTCACTTTAATTTCATAAGACTTGAGGAATACAAATCATGAGGAATGTGAGATTTTAGAAGAAGTGAATTGTGATGAGTGCTGGGTGATTAAAATAAAAACTTGAAAAAATTAGTACTCACAAAAAAGAGAAGTGAAGAAAAGGGATTCATTCTTTTTAAAGAGGATGAAAAATTTCAAATAAAGGGAAAAAGTAAGTAGTAGGAGAGTATATGAAAATTAGATTTAGAGTAAACGAAGGAGTTTTCACACCAAGAAACTGGTCACTTCACAGAGTTACGATGTGGACAGTAGGAGAGGCAACTTGTTAAAGGAGACTGAATGAGGGGGGATATTTGAAAGTTTAAAGAACAAGTTAGCCCTGTAGAATGGAGGTCTTTGAAATACACAAGAGAATTGGACACAAGTGAAAGTTGAATACTACTACTGTCTTGAAAATACAGGTTCTGTATTTTCTGTATTTTCTGAAAGCTTGAGTTATACTACTTCACTTTTAGGAAAGCCTCCATTAGTACCTGTTTTCACTAACTGATAGAAATCTGAAGGGGATTTTTACTTTTACAAAAAAATGCTGTTACCATACTAATGTTGATCTTTTATAAAAGCAGAGTGGCATAATGCAAACTTTCAGAAAGCAGGGGTTACGTGTACCTAGTGAAAATAACTAGATGACACATCATTGCTTGTGTCTAAATTGACTTCATAGAAATCTTTCCATGGTGCCTTAAAGTACCTCATGCAGGTGTTTACTTCAGTCATAGGTAGTTACAGCAAATCATTTGTTTCTTCTTTACCTGGAATTCTTTCTGGGGTTTTATAAAATAATAGTCATTGCTTATTGAATGCTTTTACGGTTTCAAAAATTTTTACATTGAAGGATTTTTTATTTTATTTATTATACACACACATATATGCACACATTTAATACTATATTTCATTTAAATTTAATTTCAGTGTGTGGAGAACAATTTTAAGAGTCTTGTGATGAGGGTCTTATTGTTCTCATTTTACTAGATGATGAAACCAGGGTCCAGCTATATTAAATGACTTGCCCAAGCATAACCTTATTTTTTAAGTCTTACGTTTTTGTTCAATTTGAAAAAGCTTCTCTCTGGCAAAGCAGCTGACAAAAGAGGTTTGTTATTATTTTTTTTTAACTCATCGTGGGTACTTACAAACTTGCTAAGTATCTAAAAATATAGTCTATGAGAGAGTAAGTGAATTGCTGCTGTTTTGCAGACTTTCTGAAGTTCCTTCTGTCTCAATGCAGTCCTTGATAATATCATACTGCAAAGCTGTGAATAATTCACAAACTGGATATTTCCTATTGGAATAGTTGAGTGTTATGTCCTCTTTATGATTTAGTGTCTACTCTAGGTGAATTTGATTTAAAATAAATTGATTTAAATTCCAATTTAAATCAGTAGTCAAAAAAGTACCATTTAATCATTTTCCCCACAAAAGCACATTTTTTGTTTAACCTTAATAAATATTCTCTTAAACTCAGTTTTCACTTTCCTAGAAGGATATTCTATATATTGCAATGCAGTGCTTTCTTTAAATTTTTTCAGATTAATTTTGAAGTTGTATCAGAAACTGAATGATTTGGTTGTTTTAGTTACATAAAGCAAATGAAATTCATACCGCTGAAGTTATCTCTTGCTCAGCTGATTATTGGTGGATATTTGAGAGCCTTTTGGCCTATACTACCTGTATTTTACTGAGCAGTTTGTTTTATTTGACTTTAAAGTGTATTTATTTGTGCCTTTTTCTTTCAGATACACAATTTTTAAATAAAATGAGAATGCATATTTTTCAAAGAAATACTTCAAATATAAACAAGTGAAAGTTTTAGAAAGAATCTAGCTGGCATCTAGATCAGAATCTAGATGAGTATGAGAAATTTTAAATATTGGATTAGGCAGCTGACTATTTTCTTTCTCTAGGAATCTTTTTGATTAGGATTTCCAACCGGTAGATCAGGAATGTACTGTAGAGCTTCAGAATCAAAGTTGTCCCTAACTATCGCTTCTCTGCCACTTTCCAGAATTCCTGAAAGGGAACATGGAATCCACCAACAGAATGTATAGCCCCTCCTCACCAAGGGGCTAAAATATCTGCTGTAATTCAAATCACAGCTGATTCTTTTTGGATAGGATCTTTTCTTTCATTGCTTCAAATAATCTTTAAAGATTATACTCCCTGTAAGAAGTTTGTGGTTCATTTACAACATGATTTGTGAAGATTTCATGATCCCTTTGTCTCAGATCAAGGGTCAGCAAACTTTTTCTGGAAAAGACTAGATGGTAAGCATTTTACACTTTGTGGCCAAGAGGCAAAATTGAGGATATAATACACATACTTACAGCTAAGATAAAACAAAAGGATCACAAATTTTTACTGACAAAATTTAGTATAGAATAATAGTAATTGAATATAGTTTTTAAAATATGGGTCTACTAATGAGAAGAATGGAATTTTTGCTGGAGAGGATATAATACTTTGCTTAATTCATGTTCAAAGTTAGTATTCTCTGTCACCAAGTAATGATTGCAAGTGTTCATCTGTGAAAACCATTCTTAGCTCATAGGTTGTGTAAAAACAGATGGGAGACCAGATTTAGCCATAGTTTGCTGACCCTATATGAGATTATAAATTACTGCTCTTCTGTGTTACTTTTGAGCTTGATGAAAAATCAGTGCTTTACTTATGTAATCCTTTTGAACATAAAGCATTCAAAGAGAAATTGGTTGGTTTTAAGGGTTTAAGTTTAAGTTTTACTTAAGTATTTGTCCTGATGGAGAAATAGAAGTCTTGCCTTTCATTGTTATTCTGGTGAATGTCTAGTCTTGAGAATTTGCTGTTGTCTAGTGGAGGAAAAATTAGGTCTATAATATGTAATCTCAAGGACAAAATATAACATAGTTTTAAATATTCTATATATTACATATAATAGGAAATGAATAAGTGCCTTTTTTATGTTAAAATTATATATTCACCTCATCCCACTTAAATTTTTTTTAGTTTAATAGGAAAAAGAAGGCAAATTAAATTTCTTAAAATGGTTAATATTTTAGCAGTTGTAAGAATAATGATGATTTCTGGTCCTTTAACAAAGGTTTTAAAATTACTGAACAAAATATTTATGCAGTTATAGAGTTAATCTGCAAGCCCACAATCTACTCACAACTGATTTTTGTTGTTGTTGCTATTTATTTTTCTAGGGTTTCTGTCTGTGTAAGGTATATTCATTCCTCAGTAATGAAACTTTGTATATACCATATGGCAGCCTTGTTCCTAATATGAATTATACACAGCATGTGATTAACCATCCTCTGGTATGAGACTTACATCTCCTGTGGTATTCACTAAAGCGTCTGTCTGATGGTGTGATGTTTTAGGACTTGAATATTTGGTGTTTCTTGGTTTGTTTTAATTTCATATTTTCACACAAGCTTGGTCTGTTTACCTTTATTTTTGTGTCCTTTCTTTCTATGTTCTCCCCACCTCTCTGCTTCACCTTTCTTAGCAAAGATGAGGATTTCTACCTTCAGCATACATTGTTGGTCTTGTCTTCTGTTTTTGTTAGGAGGGACAGCAGTGTGATAAAAGAGGAAATCAAAGCCTTTCTTGCCAATCGGAGGATTTCCCAAGCAGTTGTTGCACAGGTAACAGGTAAGAGCTGAAGAGCCCTTTATTCTGGAATCATGTCTAGTCTCTGCCTTCTGGTGCAGATGTTGGAATATTGCTTGCATTTCTGCACTGCAGTGCAGACCTGTCAACTTAGGCATAATAATGTATGCCTGTGATTTAAAACCCATTGTCTCTGATATCATGGAACTTCTCCAGTGATTTTTTTTTTTACTTGTGCTAGTAAATTTTATAGCATTTGTGATAAGCACAAAATTTCCCATTTTATGGCTTAAAAAGGGTTCTCTGGTTTTCTTGTCATTGTGACAGAGCTCATGACACATGCACATCCAACTGCTATTTACATTTCATATTTTTAAAAGCTTTACAGTCCTCCTAATTCCTGATTTTACCAATGAAAAAATGATTCATGAGAGTAAAGGAAGTTTTGTTTTTTTTTAACCACTTTCTGTATGTGAAAGCTTTCCTCAAACCATTACTGAGAAGATAAGAGTTATCATTGTCTTCTCTGTGTTCTTCATATCCCATCCCATTACCCACCCCACCACAGCCCCATCTTGAGTATGGAGTGTATATGTATCATTCTCTATTCAGACTGCATTTTTTATGGAGTTATTAAATTTTGGGGTAGCATGTCTTCTTTGTTGGTATGTAGTCTTCCTTTCATGGATATCAATGGTTTATAAGACCTTAAAAAAATCAACTATACCCTAGTCATGAGAAGAACCAGAAACTACACAAAATGTAGCTACATTGTTGTGTGTTGCACATTAATAGACATGAAAATTATATTTTTCCTCCTCCCACCCTTTTTTAACATGCCATTAGCAGCTATGTGACTTTGGGCTTTTTAGCTTCTGGACCTCACTTTCTTACCTCTACAATGAAATAGTTGGATCTGATCGTATAGTACCTTCCAATTTTAAAGATATCATTTCTGTTCTCTAGACATCGATATATATTAAAGCTAATTTACCTAAAAGGTTGTTATTGACCATCAATATGGTTAAAAATGAAACTTGAGACTTCAGAAGTCTTAAATTTCGTCCCAAGAATCTAAGGTCAGCCAATCTTAATACATGTATGTGTGTATAATATATAACACTAGTAATATATTTTTATAAATGATGCCTCTGTTCATGGTAAAAGATTTGAATAAGAGGCATTTCCTTCCATACAGAAATCTTAAACAGAGGGATGATGTGTGAATTTAATTTTTGTAATTTTCAGTAGAATAAAATAAATTTTTACCTTTATCTTCAAGGATCAAGGAATATGCTAAGGGCACTATAGGGGCAAGTTAAGTGGGTTTTACCAAAACCCAGTGATGTGCACTATGAAAAGATGGAGTGTTGTCTTTTAGGGCTTTTACTTTGCCTCCGAGATTAGAAGCAATAGTATCTTCTATTTTGCCAACCTACAAAAAAGAACAAAATTGTAGCGTTATAGAACAGTATTATATAGTTGATTTTTTTTTCCAGGTGGAAATATTTCTGAGGATCTTGAATACTCTGAATCTTGAATCATCTTGTACTTTTAAAATAGCTTTTGAAACCTATCTGACTTTGATGCAAATTATAATAAAATACCTTTAAATGGAATTTCTTAGGAATATCTAAAAGGACTAGTTATACCATAATGGATTAAACATAGTAGCATTGCCTTTTTGGAAAGGGAAACTGAAAGATGTTTCAGCATCTTGCATTATTTGGAGCTTGTTAGAAGGTAAAGATACAGAGTACCACCCTACATGTACTGAATCAGAATTTGCATTTTAATTTTAATCAGATCTCCAGGTACTTTGGGTTTGAGAAGTACTATTCTAGGAGATTGGTAAGCTTTCCCGACATTAATTTCAGTGGATTGGCATAGTTTTAACATTGTCCCACTCAAAAAGAGTCATCATGATGCCGTCTCCTGTTTTTGGAAAATATTTTTACACATTTATTATCTGTTTATCACATAGACCTTTCTTTTGCTGCCATAACCATAGGATTTGGTACTGTTAAAAACTTCATTCCCCATTTCAACCTCAGTCCAACTTATTCTTCCTCTTCATTCCTACTCGAAAAGCTTGGGTGCATTTTCCCATAATCAGGTATCTTTGATAGTTCTCCATTGTCTGAAAAATGAAACTTCTTATAGTCTGACTCCAGCCTCCTTTTTATTGTCATCTTGTATTCAGTATTCTCCCTAGCTAAATTTAGGTACTTGCCAATTTTCAGAATTCTCCTCACTTGGATGCTTACAAATCGTTTGTACCTAGGATGCCTTTCCCCTTCTCACCTCAGCCTTATAAAATCCTGTTTATCAAAGTTACCTGTTATTATCCTCAATCTGACTTCTCTGATCTCTTTAGCTCTTGTAGACCTCTCTTTTTCTGAAAGGAGTTACACTAAGTTCACCACACTTAGGTACTAAGCCTCCTTTCAGTTATGCATTTTAGAGTAATGTTCTTTAAATGCAGCGATCTTTCTTATACATCCTGAAAGAGTCTAGCATTGTACATGCTCTCTGAAGATTTCATATTTACCTAACTGCCTTGTAGCGCTGTCTTGTAGGGTAAAGGGAATTTTAGTGAAGCTAACACAAGCTATACATATGAAAATTTATCCAATATGACTTTGTCCAGTGATGTTCCCTCTCTAGAAATATTTATTTGCTCAGCAAATGCTGCATGAGTTTCTGCCCTTAAAGAATCCCATTTTACTCTTACCTGCTTTAATTCAATTTTTACATAAGGCAGGGGAGTGAAATGATTTATAGCCACATTGCTTCATTGTCTCATTGGTCAACTTAGTGAATTCATGTATTTCTCATGTATTACCATGTTACATTTTCACCCGGCCCATCCAGCCATCAAGCTAGACTCAGGGACAGGGCTTTTCATTCTAGAAAAGAGATCCAGCTACAGAATAGTGAGTTGGTGAGAACCAATATAAAGCCTGGCCCTCGTAATTGGCATACTTGGCGTAGGTAGCCTATGTAAGGAAGCCTAGGCATTTAGGATTCATTCACTATGGGTACCTGATCTCAGTACATAGGCATGTTTTTGTCTTTAAACAAATTAGTCAAGTGTATCTTAGAAGAATATCTACCTGTTGAAATCTAGCCCAAATATAAAGTTTAAGATGTGGCACTCCAGAATCTCTGTCCTATAATGGAGTCTTTTAAAAAGTTAAATTCAACTCTAATATGTGAAATAATGAAATAAATCAACCTTGAAATAAAAAGAATAGGCATAACAGAAGAAAATGCTAAATGAAAAAAGTGTAGTGAGGTGCAAAATTATAACACATGTGCTTGTTCCAGAAACAAATACAGAGGCTTCTTTTTATAGATTTGGAGGATTTCTATAATAAGATAAACAAGAAGTTCATGGGTGGGGTCTGTATAAATAATGTCCTACTGATAGGAAAAATGACAGTATAAACAGGATATAATAACAGTGCCTGCTGAATTTCCCAGCATGTTATTTGTAGCAGCTTTCACAGAGTCACAGCTGCTCCCACCAAGGGTGGATTTTTACCTCTTAGAGGTAGAGCAGGATTCTAAATTCTGACCAACAATAGTGGGATGGGGAGCATAGTCCTTGCTTTAGTAATAACCCACACGTGGGTTTTATATTCACTTTCATGGTAAAACATTTTCTTTGGCTCTTAGAATTACGAAAACATGATTTTCTTTTTAAATGACCTCTGGGAAAAATCAAGCAGGCAGAATAAATGGGTAAGTGGGCAGAGCTTGAGTGAGTGCTTATCAGCCAAAAAATACACTAATTGGATTCATATCCTCTTAAAATGGAAGAAGAAAAAAAATTTACTTCTCTGAACTTTAAGAAATCTAACACAATTTTGTTTTCTTGAATGATAATATAATGAAAAAGCAGCCATGAAACTTTAGAATACCAAAGTTCTAGTCCTTCTGTCTTAAATAGCCTTGGGATCCTGGGAAGAATTATGTAGCTTCTCTGAGCCTCATTTTCCTTATTTATAAGATGAGGGGCTTTGACCAAATATTTCTAAGAATCTTTCGAGTTATCAAATTCTATTCTGTTTTTTTCTTTTTTTAAAGATTTATTTGTTTGAAAGAGAGAGAGCATGCGAGTGGGGGAAGGGGCAGAAGGAGAGAATATCCAAGCAGACTCCCACTGCGCGTGGAACCCAACACAGGGCTGGATCCCATGACCCATAAGATCAGGACCTGAGCCAAAACCAGGAGTTGGACACGCAACCAACTGAACCACCCAGGCGCCCCAAATTCTCTTCTGTTTTCAAACAAAGTTCATTTAACCAGTGTGCATCTACCATCTCATTCCCAAAATGTAAGAATTTGTGTAAAGAGAAGCTCTGAACCAGTTTTAGAAATGTTCCAACTGTACTTAGATCACTTCCCTTTTTTAAATTTATCTTTAAAATGAAGTATGAAAACACTGCATATTCAATTTAATTATAATAATTTCTTTACAAAGATAGGTATATATTGATCCTCTCCCCAAGCAGAGAACTTCAAACCAGATATTAAAAACCAACTAAAGTGTCAATTATACCTTTTTTAAAAACAGATTTCATTTTTTAGAGCAGTTTTAGGTTCACAGCAAAAGTGAGTGGAAAGTACAGAGTTCCTGTTTACTCTCTACCTGCTACACACGTATAGCCTCCCTACTATCAGCATCTAGCACCAGAGTGCTACATTTGTTATAATGTGCAAACCTATATTGACACCATTATTGTCACCAAAAGTCCATAGTTTACTTTGTTTTTGTAAATGGTTTTGTACATTCTGTGAGGTTTTAAAAAATGTATAATGACAAGTATCCACCATTATAGTATCATAATATGATGCTACAGTTTCACTTCCTAAAAATCCTCTGTGTTCTGCCTTCCTTCCTCGCTGCTAACCCTTGGCAACCACTGTCTTTTTACTGCCTCCATAGTTTTGCCTTTTCCAGAATGTTACCCTAGAATATGTAGCTTTTTTATGTTGGCATCTTCCTCTTAGTAATATGGTTTTAAGATTCCTTA